CCACGTGGGCGATCCGCGTGCCCACGATCGAACGGCTAAGGTCTGTTCCCGCGCGCACGGACGGCCTGGATGCGCCCCTCCCCAAATGCGAATGTAGGTGTTAATTGTAGCTAAAAATAAATTTTAGGATAAAATCCAGAATGTACTACCCATTATTAAAATAATCACTCAAGTAAAACTCATAATATAAAGTTTAAGTTTCCTCTTCAATAATTTTGGAAACTTTGTACGGTTCATTAATTTAATAATTTACCTTTAATTAAGCTAAAAATAATTTAAATTTTCTCATAAAATAATATAAGTTGACTTCATGTAGAAATTTTTTTACCCAAATAAAAAAATATTTTTTATTAACCTTGATAAAAATTTATAGAAGATATTACTTCAGTTAAAACATAAAATTTTATATTAAAATCTTTTTAATCATTCAAGACAAACAAATATAAGTATAGAATGTAAAATAAGTATTAGTTTAATTATTTATCAAATCATCAAACTTTCTCTACAACAGCAAATCCTACTTCCATCAATACATGTTTCAAATCCTGTAATAGGTTAATCATCTAGGCAAATTAATCTTCGTCTCCATGCTGGTAGCACTTGACCAACTACAGCTTCAGAATAACACCAATTGGGCAATGATCACTGCCTTTAATCTCCGGGAGAATGTAGGAATCATATACGTTTTTGCTAATGGATTCTGATACCAGAAAGTAGTCAAGCCGCCACCCTGTTTCAACACGAGTTTCAGCCGAATGGGAGAATAACGAGAACATATTATGGAATTAGGATACGACATAACAAAGGATAATATAGGAATCATCAACCACACAAGACATTGTTATATGTATCTATAGAAGTCTTCCTGAATGAATGAGTGCTGAGGAACAAAATTTACACAGATATGATGATCAGTAGCAAAATAGTTAAATTGACAAAATGAAGTACTTGTCCGTATAAGAGAATGGATTCTCATACCTTTGTTGGTTTTGCGTCCACCATGCCGATATCCCCAATAAGTATAGCCAACAACATCTGGATGTTGCTTTCTAAAGGTGTCGACAAAACCCCGAGACAAGAAGTTAGTGCTAAATGACTGTCTTTCTTCATTGGTAAACCCAGCACTTCTTCTATTCCCCTGTGAATTCATGCCAAAGAAAGAAGACATAAGACATATACAACGTCAAAAAAGACCATATAATCATAAATCACATCAAAACCTCGGATTGCTTACAGCAGGGTTATAAATGTCTATCTCTTCATGTGCACAATTCAAATCACCTGTCAAAATGACAGGCTTTGACTTCTCCAATTCCTGCAGTATGAGTATATTTCAGCATTAGGCCTTAGCAATAATCAGCCAATCTTGTTAAGATCTGCTATATATAAAACCTATGAAAAAAACTGGGCAAAATGAAATTTCAGCATGAGTTTGCAAAAGATGTAGTGCAGAACTTCCTTGTAGCTTGACGCACAACCTACATTTTTCAGAATGACAGTTGACAACTACGACGGTTAAAAAAAAACATTAAGTCAATATCCAGTATGAACTATACATAATAGGGATAAAAGGAAAATTACTTACTTTCATATAGTTGCTAAGAGATGGATCCCATTCTGTTATCCGGTATGACTATAATTAGAAGTAACATCAGTTCGAGAATACCTCTTGAAGACCAATAGGCACAAGTAAAAACTATGCAAGATGTGACAGATGACTTACCAGCCTTCTCAAGCCATCTCCAGAATTAGGAACATAGGAACTAATCAAGTAGAATGAATCAAATTCTGCTGTTACAAGCCGTCCTTCAGTATCATGATCCGATATGCCTAGACCATAGCTGACGGAAAGTGGCTTTATCTGTCAGACAACTCTTAAAAGTTTAAATGGTAAACCAAAAGAAATCACAGCTGACATTGATTATGAGTAATGTTAAAAAATTTAAACCTGGTAGAAAATGGTCCAATCAAATTACAAGTACTCCAAAAAAAAAGCACCTTCTCGTGTAAATGCCCTCCAGAACAAAAGCATAGATCAAATCTCATTAATATAATTGACAGAAATATGACAGGAGCCAGAATCCGTAGTCTAGACCTCTGACTCTGCTACCATGTCAAATAATTGATCATAATCATCTCAAGGACTTGTGCTAATGAGAAAGTGACCCAGCCTCACAGACTGTTACAATTGTCAAAGCGCGCCTAGACAGAGTATGCGCCATAATAGCCTATAAATAGGCATGAATTCATTTAGTAATCATCAAGAATATATTACCTTAAAGCAACTAATCTCTCTCTTTTCTCTGTTCGGAGTCATGAACGAGGTCTGTGAAATAAATAGTTATTGCAATCCCTACTTTATAGTAGCATTGGTCCAATCAAATTATACTGAACAGAAGTCATCACAAACAAAGGACATCTAGACATTTCAATGGTCCAATGCATGATAGCCATAAAATATATAAATAGTCACCATAATCTCCACATTGTAGTTGAGATGCCTAACATGCAAGGAAGGCATGATGTACTGTAGAAAAAACATAACATTTCTATGTAATGCTTTCACAAAGTAATTTACTATATGATGTACAACCACAAATATATACATATGTTTTGCTTATAAAACTTGATAAAAAGGAATAAGCTTACCCGTGAGATAATCGCTGTACCAGAATAACCCAATTTGGAAACACTACATGTCCAGAAGCTATTTTCAAAGCCATCTATGAGAGACTGTTTTATTGACTCAACATCCTTCTCCTGTTCTCAAAAGAAGTAAATGCACTTAACATAAGCAGAAACAAGACATGAAGATAATTATTTTAAAAAAATAGGAAATAGGAAATAGGAAATAGGCAATGAAAATTAGCAACTGAAAAATCTTAACAAGCTCACATGAATATAGGCAAATATACACATACATGTAACTGAGGACGAAAAGTATCCTTCCGCAATCCAAAACATTTATATGTTCTGAGCAAGTGATGTATTATTAGGTGGTTTTAAATCATAGGCGTTGCTTATTACACCATGCTAAAGGGGCATTCACACCTTTCTTCATACACATAAGCAGAAAACTAAATGTAAAAACCTTATTCCAGATATTACGTCTATTAAATGCGGCAACAATTAGTGACATAGTTTGGACTTGATAATGTACTAAAAGCTTTGCACACAAAACCACAAGTATACATACAAATCCAGCAAAGCATGTCCATACTTTCAAGCATGCAGTCATGCTAATTTATTTCAATGTACCAGTGGGAGAACTTTATCATCTGCACCTAATCCTCATTCAATCACTTCCCTTCACTGTAGCTGCGAAAATCAAGGATGTAAATCTAATGTGCTGAATTGCACTTTCAGAATCTAAATCCTACTTCTACATTTGGTTTTTAATTGATAATGAGTCTCCTTGAGAGGCACAAACTAGAACGTGCCCCAGTAGAAGTTAAAATGCTATTGATGGCCAAATTACGAAGATTCAAAATGTATTGGCAACCAATATTTTGCAATCTCCAATGCTCAACAAGAACAGAATACAAGATCTTGCACATGATGAACGATTTCAAAGCTGGGGAAACATATCACTTAACCTGAACTTTATCCCTTGCACTAAAGCAAACTTTATCATCAAGAGCAAAATGAGGAAAAATATGGATTTGTACTTACCTGTAGTTTTGTCTCTTGCAAGCACAATATATCAAAATTTTCCTTTTGTGCAAGCTGGAGGGCAGAGAAGCCCTCTAACTTCAATAATGCTCTTAATCCATTGACATTCCAGGATATAAGCTTCACAGACTTTGTATTCCTTGCTAGAGGAGGTCGTCTCATGGTTCTTGGGTTATAAGGTATCCACGCTTTCTGAGGCTTCTTGTGGGCGAGAATTGTCCATGGTTCACTTTGATTCATGAGCAGATTAGCTTCTTCAACTTTAACATTTTCACTATCAATCTCCAAACATACTTCTTCCTTTGACTGAGAGAGCTTCAGGCCTAGCAACATTAACCACAGACAGCATGGTCTTAAATGGAATATTACTGTACCAAATCTAACATAAGAAGGAACTAATGGAGTCCCGTGAATGAACAAAGACAGGATATAGGTATTATGGTAGCACATACTCATATGTATGCTTTAATGTTTATTATTCCCTAATAGACCATCCATACACACACAAATACCCTTTGTCTCTTACATGAGCAACACAAAAGTTTCACTTTACCTGAAACAACTTCATTTTTTGTGGACAGCTTTTTTGTTCTGACAGTTCTGCTAGAAACTTTGGCAGTTTTATCATCAGCTACTAGCTGTTTCACTCTTTTCTTCCTCTGTTGAAGTTCAGAAACCCCAGCAACAGTATCAACATCTTCATTAGATGTTTTCTTAATATTTCTTTTTAATGACACACTTTCGGTATCAGTAGAGAAAACCATTTCTTCTGCTAAATGGGAACTTTCACCTGCACCAGTGGGAACTCCTGGCTCACTATTTCCAATTGAATAAGTATGAGAAAAAGATCCATGGATAAAGAGAAAAAAGTTTCTTTCTAATCGTAACTAAATCTTCAATTTCATTTTTGTTTTGTATACAATAAATTGAGGCAAAATGGCTATTAAACGATAACTTTAGTTTACTAGAGGGATCGACATATTATATTGTTTTAGCTCGGTGGAAACAAAACACTTTTCCTAAGGATTCTATTAAATAGAAATAGAGAACGAAGTAACTAGAAAGATTGTTATACTCCCCCTCTTCTAGAGGGATCATCTAGAAAGCAAATTGTTCTGAATTGAATGCATCCAGAATCCTGAATACTGAATCTTCTAAATGGTACAAGTACAACTTAATTTTCTAAATCATGCAAGTTCCTAAAAATTAATTAGTAATTACTATAGAAACTCTCTTTATCTCAAATTACTGATGAGCACAACAAACTTTTGCAAAAAGATTGTGTAGTACAATTCCATACCAGTTGTTTTCTCGGTCATGTAACACCTTAATGCAGATACAAGATCCTGTTTACGACCTTTGGCAGGGACCCCAATTCTCCTAACAGTTCCAAACCATCATGCCAAATGAATATTAAAAAAAAATAATGAACATCACAACAAATTCTTGAAGACCTTGGAACAAATAACCTTGTTCACTAATGGAAAAAATGAGAGAGGAAATATTAGACAAGCGAGTCCAATAAAGAGAAACATTCAACTCTCTAGCACAGACCAGATGCTGACTACAGGAAGTTAAAAAGCAATCAGACAAAAGCTTAAAGCTGATAATGTAAACTCTAATTTACAAAAGGAAACCTTCTTCTGTACCTTGGGCCAACCAAGAATAAAAGTCTTTATGTTAAAGAACACAATGCCCTCAGGAGAGACATGTGCATGTAGGAACTATTATGTTCATCTAATCATGCATCCCATGAAGAAAAATTATTTGGAGAAGAACATAAATAAACCAAACAAAGTCGAGATCCATGTCTTTTATGCACCTAAGTGAGATCAATTATCACTTCACTTCTGTTTGGATTCTTACTCCTCCAGTTAGCAGCAAGCAGAATCATAAGATCGACATAATTCACTTGTTTGCTGGAAAAGAATTCAAAAAAGATATTGCCACATTCTTACTTCAGTCCCAGTGAAACTAAACCTCTAGATGAACCAAATTAGAAAAGCTACTTGCATAATTATTTCGGATTTCTTCATCCAAAATACCTTGAAAGCAGAAGACTAAATAATATTATCTAAGACAATGTGTGCACATCAGAGCATTGAAATATAAATATGCCTTAACGCAGCTCTAAGTTCTTGAACTGTCATTTCCTCAATGTTCCCTCGATAATCATCAATACTCTGAACTTCATCTATACTATTCACGCTATTTTCCTGCACATCACCACATTAAACTAATAAATATTATCAACAGCACGAGAGAGTATATGGCCAATAGAAAACAAATAAATCAAATCACAACCTCAGCAACACTCATGTCCGAATTTTGGTTTATACCCACTAATCCTCTTCGTCCTTTTCCTTTCTTCTTCTCATAAATTGATGAAGTACTTCTCAATGAATTTGAAAAGAGCCTTTTAGACCCCGCTGCTCTTGCTCTCAAATAAAACAACGGCGCAACTCTCACATTCCCTAGAGTCACTGCACAACTACAGTATCGTTACTCAGCGTAGCTGTAACTTTCAAAAGGACTATACTATCAAGTAAGGATTTTAATTATCCTGGAAATGAGCAAACAAGGAACTAAACTCAAATGCCAGGAATTTTTTCTTTACTTTTGTTTTCCTTCTTTGCGTGGGCATATCTTTTTTTTTTTTCCATGTAAGGAAGCCCGAGATTATGTTAATTGTCTCTTTGATTTGCTTTATTTCTCCCGGGAACCAAACGGAAGAGTAAAACAGAACATCCAGATTATCACCGAAAAGAATATTCGATAAAAAAAAAAAAAAGTAAACGAACCTTGAAGGATTGAGGAAATTGGAGGTCTTAAAACCGAATTGCAAGACTCTGTTCATGGAAGCGGGGGGGTTGCGTAGGGAAGGACTATAAGATGAAGGGGAAGAACCGCCAAAGCTTTGAGGTTTACAAATGAACTCTATTTGCCTTTTCTTATTTTTATTTTATCAATAAAATTAACAATTTTTTTATTAAAAAAAAATTACATCAATCCTCTAAACGAAAATCAAAATAAAAATAATAATAATTTATTCTAGAAAAAAATTATCATAAATTACATGAAAAAATATTAATTTTTGATAAAAGATTTCAAATTTTTTATATAAATTTATAATTCATTAAAGAGAAATTTTTAACTTCCAACCAACAGGAATGAGATCTTACTTAATTCTCTAACAAACAGAAGAAAATCAATTTTAAGAAATTTTATTTTACAATATTTCAAGATTTCAGAATTAAATAGTTTAAGCAAGTTAAAAATGGTGTTTGAAAAAATTAATATAATACTATCCAAAAATAAAAAACTATAGGATGCCATTTCTATAACCAATACTCACATCACTATATCATCATAAACAGGAACCCTACAGAAATATGCCCCTTCAATGTGTATATTATAATCAAAGGAATAATTGGTAGGTAAGAGGCCTAGGTTTTCTGATTACAATCTCAGGCAATTCAACCAATAAATCCTAAGAAGCTATCTCTACCAAGAACACCATATCATCCACCTGTGTAACTCAGAATCCGTCTCTACATCTCTTCACATCTATAGAAAAATAAAACCTAACAAATCTAAAAACCGGAAAATATACACCAGCGCTTGGGTAATGATCGGGAAGAGCCCCCGTTGAAACCGAGCAACAATTCGCCCCCTTCCAGACAGGCACATAAAACTTTGCTCCCTTACCTTCTTTTCCATTCCCTTTTCCTCTAGCTTTTTCTGGCAATCATTTTGAAAATTTCTGCCCTTCTCCAAAAATGACCTATGATAATGAGGCAGAGGGAATACTGTGGATTTGGCAAACCATAGTTAAATATCTACGAGATCATCAGGGACAGGAGGAGATTGAGGTGGTGTTGCTGATATGTGAAGAACGGCATTGTCATCAGTGACTCCCAAGGTCCTCCTAGCTGTTGCCTGAGATTCTCCATTGTTGCCAATCTTTCTCGAGGAAATTATTCGAAGGTTGTCTGTTACAGAAGAGTTATGTGTCTCTAATGCTGACCAAAATTTCTCATTTGACATGGATTTATATGCTTCAGCAATCACAGAAGTGAAAACACCTGACTCCCTAAGTTCTTGAACAATGACCTGTAGATGAAAAATAAAATTTAAAATACTGCTGTCTTGTATATAGGGTAAATGATGTGTATGAAAAAACATTTTCAAATGGAGACTGGAAATGCAGAGTTCCAATAATTGTATGTTTCAGATGACAATGCTGTTTGATGGAACTCACCATGGGAGCATGAATACGAGTCAAGATTCCCTTCCTCACAAGCTTCAAGTTCAGAGTTTTATCAGTCCAGACAATGCGCTCGCGGTACCTATTAGCAATAGAATAGTTTCATCCAAAGAAGCAATATAGTTCCCACACCAAAACTGAAAGCAAGTGGAAACACAGTTTCCATTTTATTATCAAAGACTAAACATATGCCCCAATAGAACCAAATAATAACTGTAGTAATTCTGGGAGTAATATTCCTTGCTGATGATAACACAAGGGTCTCGATATTCAAAATTTTCATTTTGACCAAAAATAACCATCAGACTTTGGATAGCCCCATGGATTCTGATAATTCTGGATCAATCGATAAAAAGGTAAAGAGAGCCATCATTAGGTTTAAAGATCTACTTCTTACATTGTTTTCACACTTTTAGATTAAAGATGTTCCATTTTCAACCATTTCAAGCAACATGGGAAGCAGTCTATAAGGCTTATTATCTCTTTGGCCATCTTTTGCACAATTTGAAAAGAGAGAAATAGAGCTTTTGAGGGAAAAAATCCTTCCTCTAATACTTTCAAAGGTACATGGTTCCAGACTCTTAGTTTTTTGTTAAACAGTCAACAACTATATTCTAGCAACGATTTAGGGGGCTATATTGATATTATTAGCTATCTAATTATCTTTGTGTAGGGGTTGCATCCCCTTGATGCTTTTCTTTATATTTAATCATTCTTTTTCTTCTGAAAAATGGTGCCATAAGCCGCTCCCAATGTCCCAAAAACAGTTGAAAACCATACTAGAAAACTTCTGTTTAATGTCTACAAGCATAACAATGAGATCAAAATTTTTGAACAATAGGAAGATAGTATTAGTAGTTCAATATGCTCACTACCAGCGAAGCATTTCTTCCTCAGTTGCCGTTGATGCAATTATGAATGCCTGCACAAAGTACAATAGCAAATGCTTGAGCCTTCCCTCTCCGCAATAGAAATAACAATAATGAAGAGTTTTTGATAAGAAAATGTACTCATTAATGAAGGCACCAGTTCATGTATAAAGAAAGGGAGTCCAGTGTGCAAACTCTGCCTATCACCATATTTATGTTAATTAATTTCAGTAAGTGAGCCTTCGCATAACCCACACTTTCAACCTCGAAAACTTGCAAGTAGAGGGATATATAAGTAATACATTGGACCATCACTTATCACCCAACTTTTGGGAATAATCAGTTCAACTCTATTATTCCACGGCACAAAGTGGTATCACCCAATTACAAAAGAAGATAGGAGACTTGGGAAAATTTCACGTGAGCTTTGGGCTTGCTAAGTATCTGGAGTGATAAAAGGAGGAAAAAATTTCATCTCACTTATCCCTTTGGATTGTTTAACGGCTTACATTGAAGGAGAGAGTAGGGCTTTTGAGGGTCTGACATTTTTCTTTAGGAGAATAAGGGCCTCATAACACCAAATCCTGCTTTTTTTTCTTTTCTTGTGTACCAGTCATCCTCTCACTTTTCAGAGGATTGCCTATGTTTTTCTGTTTGACGGTCATCCTCTCTGTTCCTAGCGTATTTGGGGACCTAAATGACATTATGACTGAAGTAAATCTTCTTATAACTGCACCAAATAATCACATTTTGCTGGTATTACTGTTGTTAGCTAAAAGACCTATCTGCAACCCCTTTGTTACCTAACCCTCTGTAACTCTCTACATTCACCCTTAGATTTGTTGCAACCAAAGATATTATTTCAAATCAAGACTGCTACGGATAGAATAAAAAAATAGGCAACCAAGTGGAAAAAAAAAAGTAATAATAATGATGACAATAATAAAAGTGGTGTATCAAGTCGACTCACAGCTCTGTCAAATTCCAACATGAAGCATCTTTTAACATCCTCCTTTGTTGGTTTGCAGCCACAGCGATCACGTCTAGAAGTAAGATCAGAAAATTTGGGATACGTATAGTGGAGAACAGCGGCCTCCTCCAGTTTAATCTCACTGTCAAGGATGACACTATGTTACCTTAAAGACATAGTTTCAACTAAAAAGCAGGTTCTGTAATGAATATAGGTCAACAAATCTTTTGTCGATCAGAAAAATTTGACACTTCATTACCTTAAAGACATAGTTTGAACCAAAAAGCAGGTTCTGTAATGAATATAGGTCAACAAATCTTTTGTCGATCAGAAAATTTGGCACTATGCTACCTTAAAGACATAGCTTGAACTAAAAAGCAGGTTCTGTAATGAATATAGGTCAACAAATCTTTTGTCAATCAACTTCTAATCTGATGACCAACAATTGTAATGAACACGCAGAGGAGGGGAACTTGTAACCTTTTCTTTATTTTGAAAAACTCACAACCAAGTACAATTCATGATTCAACATAACTTCTGAAAAAAATTGATTCAGCATATAAAACATGTACCTACTTTGGGGTTTTCATGTAATTGTGCCATCTATGTGCACCATTAGGACGAAGATGATCCTGAATACGTGCTGCTGACTTCCCATTTCCATAGGTTAGAAAGTAATTTGGATTTCCGCGCGTCGCTTCTCTATAGTTGCCGAAGTATACGTCTTTGGGAAGATGATCATAGTTCTTCTTGAACATTGACACCTAAGCCAGAAGAAAAGGAGACGGCAGGAAGGAGGTTTTAGATGCCAACGAACTAAAAACATCTATACAATCAGAACCAACTTTGGAGGCAACTAGTAACTCTGTACGTTGTGACATAGGGGAAGGGGGAAGACTCAGAAACATATAGAATACTTAAGCATGCAGAGTATCTAAAGAAGATGTATTACCTCACTGGAAAGGTCCTTAATATCGTCACGCTCAACACTACTCTCCTGAAACAAAAACATTAACAGGTTAAACAGAGAACCCTTTAACACCAATTTAACTGCAAAATTTTATAAAGGGAGCACCCACGTAGTTTGGGAAGATAACCATATCAACATTTCTGGGCACATCTGCTAGTAATTGTCTCAAAGAATATTCATGAGCGCCAGCAGGATGTATTAGTTCATCAGTGTCAAGATGGATAATCCAATCCATGCCAGCCTCCTAAGTTTGGAACATGAATAACAGATTAAAAAATGAAATATAAATGGGTAGCATATTTTCTCTTCTGTATTTAAGATATGTGTATATACTGATAGCTGCATGAAATGAAAGAGAGAAATGAATGCAACACATACCCGTGCCATTACAATGGCCATTTCCATATTAAGGGATTGCTTCACAAACAACTCATAGTTGCATGGCTTGTAGAAGAAGCTTGCCAACCACGTCTCATTCCATATCCGACTATCAACGCCAATAACAAAGTAAAGACAAAGTATATTAGTTTGTAAGAAATATAACATGATATTTATAGAAGTAAGTAACACAAAGACAAAAAACAAAATCCAAACAGGCTTATAACTTGAAAGCAGCAAGATTTCCCATTGCAGCTAAAACTTAAATAACTGATCATTAGGGAAGGAAAATAGGAAAAGAAAATATTCAACAGAGAAAGATATTAAAGAAAAAAGGCCAACCATTTAAAGGAGGGGGCAAATCAAATTTCAGACCTTATCCCATTCCACTTCCAATTAATATCATTTTCAGTTAGATCCTTCTATTTACTAATATCATTTTCCAGCACAAAATAAGATATTATTCAGGCACACTGTTGTCCATATTCGACAAAACTTTTGCATGTAAACTCAAAGAACTCCAAGCAAGTACTTTAAACTTAGATCCCCATGCCAACAACTACAGCATAAACATCAAATCTGCAGACCTTTTAGCTTGCCGCTCCTCTAACTCTCTTGTTCTATAGATGACCTTTACCCCCTGCAAGAGATGAATGCAGAACATGAGAATAGATGGGTAGAAGAAAGATTACATAGACAAAAAATATGACAATGTAATGAACAGTCAAATCTAGAAGATGAAATAGAGAGGTTAGACTCACCGGAATTGATTCCAATACTTTTGATACATTGTAGGAGGCTGCCTTCCCCTCAACAAAAAGGAAAAAAGTAGAAACTCCAATAACTTTGTGATAAAAAATCCATGGTAAAGTTTGTTCTAAACCAGCAGAAGTGCTTGTTGTAATACATATCTGTCATACAGCAAACAGCAAAGAGAAAAATCAAAAACAGCTTTTATCAGACCTTTTCTTTTTTAAAAAGACAAAAAAAATTGGGGTGACAGCAGAACTACTTTATTGTAGGATGAGCAAAATTTCTTGGGCAAGGAATAAAACAAAAAATATTTTGAAGCAGACCCAAACCCAGGTAAGAGCAAGAACGATATAACAAATACAAAAGATAAAGTTCCATCAACTGCACAAGAGAATAACATCAGAATCAGTTTAGACATCATTTATAAACCAGTGACAAATTGCTCAGTCATCATAAAGCAATAAACATAAAGATTCTCTTCCAAACAGAAATTCCCAACAGATCCATTTATTTTTAGTCTCTCATTAGGTGAGTAAGCATAACATTTAAGCTTCTAGACTACAAATTCCTATTTCTACAGGCGATGATTCAGACCTATAAAAAGGGGGAAAAAAAACCATCTGTAACATACGTACTGAGCAATTTGTCTTAATCCATATGCATAAGCGAATTTATATATCAGAAAATGACAGAATAAATGAAGAATATTATCCGAATCAAACAAAAAATACACTTCACCACATCCATATAAACATACGCTTTGGAAATGATTGAGTAATAAGACACCTAGAATCGCCTCAATCACATAATCACCCCGCTGTTGTAGAAAATCCAAATCAAGACAAACCAAAATGGCAGATCCGTAGATACCCATTAATCAATGCACGTATACATGCGCATATACGAACATACGCACAGTCGCCAAAGAGGATCAACCTCAAAGGTCAAATAGAATCAAGCAAAAAATAGAAACCCATGAAGCAAACACAAGCAAATCCAACATAATCAGTCACCTTAGGCCTCAGATCCGACCCGTAATCGAATTTCCAGCCTCTGTAGTACGGGAAAGCAAGGGACCGACTCTGACCCAGAAGATCAGCGCAACCCGAACCAGAAGTGTGAAGAGAATGCCCAGAGGAGGTAGCGCCCATTCCAGGGAAGTGGTGGTCGTCCGGCGACCAACGGCTGATTGGGTCGTTGAGGCCACCCCACCATTGCAAAACAAAGGCAAAGCAAGCGAGAGTCAATGGAAGAAGAGTCAAGAGCAAGAGAAGACGCGAAGTGAAGACTTGTTGAGGAGATGGAGAAGAGGACAACGAAGAAGAAAAGGTGGGTCTCGATGAAGAGTACGGACCCGCCATGAGAGAACAGAGAAGGAGCAAAATGCTGGTTGCATATATAAATACACGACGTATATTATTTACAGAGAAGGAGAGGACTTGAAACTGAAGAAGTTGAAAGATGAAGGAGAATGATGCGAGAGGAGCCGTTTTGTCGTTGGTCGTCTTTAATTTTTATTGCCGTCTTCAGTTTTTTATTTTATGTTGTTTATTTTTTTTCCGTTTCTTTTTTTATTGGGCATTTATAAGAATTTAAAAAGAAAAGTTTTTATTTTATTTTTTATTATATAATTTACCTAATTTTAATAGATTTATATTTAATTCTATGCTTTACTTTCGTCTACTTTAATACATACATACATATAAACAGAAAGAAACCTGACCAAACAGTGCTGAAAACTCGAGTTTGTATTAAAAAATAATTATTAAAATTAAAAATTATATAGGTGCGTGTAATCAATAACTTTATTTTATAAGGGTACAGAGTTATTTTGTAATGTGAATTAAAACTCCTCTCCATATACTTGAAAATAAAACTATTCCAAAAAATATTACTTGTTTATTATTGAATTTTAAATCAAATTTTTGATATAATATAATTATTTTAACTAAAAAAATAATAAGTATTTTTTATTAAAAAAATATAATAAATTTATTAAAATTTAATTCAAAAACAAAATTTAGAATAAAATTATAGTGGAGCACTAGCATTACAACTTATAACTTATGAATGAAAATTAATTTTTGAGGAAAATGAGATCAGCAACTTCATCTTTTATGATTTCTGTAGTTTTATTTTTGGGCCACTAGGATTTACAACTTTATCATCCACTAATATTGTCAACTACTATTTATTACCTATTTTTATATAAAGTTCAAATTAATATGATTATCCAATACCAATTTTTTAAATTACTTCATATTTATGATAATTCACAAGTATTCACTATATCCATTGAAAATAATGAAAAAGGATACATGATATTTAACGAATGCAATAATCTTGGAAAAAGAACAATACTTAATAAATTATGTCATTAACTATAAATTTAAATTTGTAGAATATGTGTTAATGTATTATTTGTTGTATACCACAAACATCTAATAAATGATATATTTGGTTCCCTAAATTTCTCTCTTACTTTTGGTCGAACAAATGGGAATATTGGGCTCTAAAGTCTGATTCTAGCTCCCAAGTAGCCTCTCTTGGCGAGTGGTTCTGCCACACTACCTTTACAAATGATATTTCCTGATTACGGAGTATTCTGCTCTTTTGGTCCGTGATACCGACTGGTACTTCCTCATAAGATAAGTCCTATTGGAGTGGAAGCGGTTCATGAGCCAAGATATGAGAGGGGTCCGGGTTGTATTTACGTAGCATGGATACATGGAACACATTGTAGACATTGGAGAGCTCTGGAGACAGTGCTAGTCTGTAGGCGGCAGTACTAATCCTATCTAAGACTTCAAATGGTCCAATAAATCAGGGGTTCAGTTTTTTCCTCCTGCCGAACCTACTAATTCCCTTTAAATGAGTGACCTTAAAGAATACCCGGTCGCCTTGTTCAAACGCTAAATCTCTCCTCCAAGTGTCTACATAACTCTTCTGCCTGCTCTGAGCCATCTGAATGTTCTTTCTGATTTTAACTATTTTAGACGTGGTCTCCTCCACAAACTTCGGGCCGAACAATTTTATGTTGCCCACTTCTTCCCAACAAATCGGTGATCTGCATGGGCGTCCATATAACGCTTTATACGGAGTCATGCTAATGCTCGCTTGGTAGCTGTTGTTGTAGGCAAATTCTATCAGGGATAGATGGTCGTCCCAATGGCCAGAGTCAATGACACAAGCTCGAAGCATATCCTCAAGTGTACGGATTGTCCTTTCTGACTGTCCAGCAATCTGAGGATGAAAAGTAGTACTGAGAAACAGCTTTGTTCCCATGGCCTGCTGAAAGCTACTCCAAACCCGAGAAGTGAACCTAGGGTCCCTGTCGGATACCACTATTACTGGAACTCTATACAATCTGACTATTTTCCGGATATACATTCTTGCCAACCTGTCCAAGGGATCGGTCATCCTGATGGCTAGGAAGTGGGAAGACTTGATAAGCTGGTCAACAATTACCCAGATGGCGTCATATCTTGAACGTATCTTGGGTAATCCTGTTACAAAGTCCATGGTGATATGTTCTCATTTCCACTCCGGGATCGGTAAGAGCTGAAGTAATCCATCTGGGCGTTGATGTTCTGCCTTGACCTGCTGACATACCAAGCATTTAAATACAAAGTCAGCTATGTCCCTCTTCATCCAATTCCACCAAAACTGGGGTCGCATGCTTTGGTATATTTTGGTGCTTCCGGGATGCATGGCAAACTTCGAGCTATAGGACTCTGTCATGATGTCTCTCTTTAACTCACTATCGTCTGGGACACAAACTCTGTCCTGAAACTGGAGTAACTCATCGGCAGAGACTCGGAATTCTGAGCTCGCTCCCTGTTCTGCATCATTCTTGCGGTCTACTAGGGCGGGGTCGACTGACTGGGCTTCCCTTATTCTTTATATTAACTCGGGCTGAACGGTTAAACAGCCCAAACATGCGACTCTCTTCAGGTCCTGAAGCCGAACCTGTTGTGTGGTCCCAATTTGTCTGCATTCTAAAACCATCAAATGGGCTAAGATACCGGCACTTTTCCTGCTGAGAGCATCTTCCATCACGTTTCCCTTACCCGGATGATACAAGATATCACAATCATAGTCTTTAAGGAGTTCCATCCACCTTCTCTGACACATGTGGAGATTCTTTTGAGTGAATATGTGTTTCAAACTCTTATGATCGGTATAAATCTGAAAGGTCTCTCCGTATAAATAATGGCGCCAGGTTTTCAAGGCGTGTATGATTGCGATAAGTTCCAAGTTATGGGTGGGGTAATTCTTCTCATGATTCTTTAACTATGTGGACCCATAGGCTATGACCTTTCCATGTTGCATCAGGACACAACCCAAGCCTAGATAGGAGGCATCACTATAAACTGTATATCCCCCCGATCCACGCGGTAAAGCCAGTACGGATGCAGTGGTCAGTCGCTCCTTTAATTCTGAAAAACTTCTCTCATAGTCCTCATTTCAGTCAAACTTGGCATGCTTCTTTGTGAGTCGGGTTAGGGGAGCCGCTAGACTAGAGAATCCTTCGACGAACCTGTGGTAATAACCTGTCATTCCCAGGAAGCTACGAATTTCCTTAACTGATGTCAACTTCTCCCAACCAAGTACCGCTTCAACCTTTTCGGGATTCATTGATACTCCTTCCTTCGATATGATGTGTCCTAGGAAAGCTATCTGCTCAAGCCAGAATCAACACTTACTCAACTTTGCATATAGCTTCTTTTTTCTGAGGACCTGCAAAACTTGGGCTAGATGGTGAGCATGCTCTTCTCTACTTTTTAAGTAGACCAAGATGTTATCGATGAACACAATAACAAATTGATCCAAGAATTCTCTGAAGACCCTGTTCATCATATTCATAAATATGGTCGGGGCGTTGGTTAGCCCAAATGGCATGACCAGGAACTCATAGTGTCCGTACCTGGTTCGAAAGGCCGTTTTGGGGATGTCTTCTGTTCTTATTTTCACCTGATGGTAACCTAATCGCAAGTCTATTTTGGAGAAGACCTGCGCACCCTGCAGCTGATCGAAGAGGTCGTCAATCCTGGGAAAGGAATATTTGTTCTTGATTGTGACCTTGTTCAATCCTCTGTAATCAATACACAGTCTCAATATTCTATCTCTCTTTCTGGCAAAAGTGACTTCGGTACCCTAAGGAGACACATTGTGTCTAATAAAACCACTGTCTTACAATTCAGTGATTTGTTTCCTCAGCTCTTTCATCTCAATGTGGCTCATGCGGTAAGGAGCAACCGAAATGGGTTGGTGCCTGGTTGTAGGTCTATAGTGAACTCAACTTCCCTGTCCACTAGCAGTTCAGCAGTTCGTCCGAAAACACATCTGAAAGTCTCAGACTATCGAAATCTC